CGCATCCCGCTCAGAGCCGGCTCCGGCTTTTCCCACCAAGCCTCTTTTCCGAGATTCGGGAGGCTCCGCTCACGCGTGCAGTCTTAGCAGGGGGAAGGTTCTCTTTATTACCAGGCCAGGTCGAGGACTACGTGCAAGAAGGCCGCTGTGCCACGCTCACGCCGCTCTTCCTTCCTTAAGCCGCAGCGTCTCTACCCAAGGGCATCCCGTACGCAAGACTTTGTAACCGGTGCTTCTACAGCCAAACTCCTTGCCCGTGTACTCTCCATCGGCCAATCAGACGCTAGATAGAAGCAAGACTATTGGGTAGTCTTGGTGCCTATCATCATCTAGCAAAGTAGATTGAGTTTGGAGGGATGTCTGATAAGCCGGTCTGGTTTTGCGCAACTGGGAAGGACGCAGGAAGGAACGTAGGAGGCTACGCATGCGTGCTGGGGCCGTTGTAACAAGGTCAAGACTGCCAGAAGCGGGCTGTGCTTTTCACGATTTTTTTTTCGAAGGGTCATGTGAGTGAGCTCCGCTGCCGGCAGAAAGTGACGTAAACAGGGATTCCGCCCGTAAGGCGCGGAACTTGCTGTTCCTTTGGCAGCGAAGAGGCCAATGGTGCAGAGGGGGGAAGCGGATAATTATGCAATTACGAAACTGCTGAGATGGGACTGCTTCTGTTAACTTGCATATTCAGAATAAATTATTAAGTTCGGTTTACTGGAAGGATAAACCTACATCAGGTTTGTAGCAACGGATTGTAGATCGTGTTTTTTGATCCTGTCCAAATTGGTGGCACCCCTTAGAAAACCTTGGCTAACTTCAAAAAGCTAAGCAAGGTTAAACTTGCTAATATTTGGGTGGGAGACCACGAGGGCTACAAAGTAAAGTGGGAAGTCAGAAAAACATCCTGGTAGAAAGCAATGATGAACACCAGTAAACCGAACTTAATAATTTACCAGTAAACCGAACTTAATAATTTACCAGTAAACCGAACTTAATAATTTATCGTGTTTTTTGATCCTGTCCAAATTGGTGGCGCCCCTTAGAAAACCTTGGCTAACTTCAAAAAGCTAAGCAAGGTTAAACTTGCTAATATTTGGGTGGGAGACCACGAGGGCTACAAAGTAAAGTGGGAAGTCAGAAAAACATCCTGGTAGAAAGCAATGATGAACATGTTGCCAAGAAAACTGCATGGATGTGGTTTGTTTATTTATTTATTTATTAAATTTCTCCCCTGCCCATCTCCCCCCAGTGGGGGACTCTGGGTGACTCATACAAAACATTAAAACCATAAATACATAAAACATCAAAATTTTAAAAAACATTACTAAAAAAAGGAAAAGGAGAATCCAACAAGATGAAGAATCTGGGGCTGAAGACAGCAGGCCTCTACGGAGCTAGCCATCCCCACTCTTGAAGTATTCCCTCCCCACCCCAGGTTATGTACTGGGAGTCTCCAAAAGTTGAGCTTGACTCGAGATCTTTTGTCTCTCCTGTTAGATCTGGGAACCCACATTCATCCCCCAGAGATCACCCTGCTGCCGAAGTCAAAATGGCCATGGGGGAAGTTTGCAATAACTTGAAGGGACAGGGCACATCTGCAGCGGCCAATAGGAGTGGACAAATCCTAGCCCCTTCTCAGTTGCCACCACAGTTACTGCTGAAACACGACAAATTGTGCATATGAGTGGTCCTTGCTTTACAACCACTTGTTTAGCAACCATTCAAACTAACAGTGCTCCTGAATGAGTGGTCACAGCGTCCCTATGGTCACATAATTGCAATCTGGGTGCATGGTGCCTGGCTTGCAATTATGACATCACAGCATCCTGCAGACACATGATTGTCATTTGTGACCTTCTTTGTTGGCTTTCTACAAACAAAGTCAATGCGGAAGCCAGCAGGAGGTTGCAAATGGTGACCACGTGACTCTCAGTGATTTGCTTAATGATGACTACCGGAAGTTCTGGAATTTCCATTGCTAACTTTACAACCATGTCACTTTGTGACAGAAATTCCTGGTCCCAATTACAGTTGTTAAGTGAGGAGTAGGTGCATAGCGGCCCAGACTCTTTTGATTGTGGCAAGATAGAAATGTGAAAAATAAATATAAATAAAATATAGCAAGGCTTGTTGGGAGAAGTTGGAAAATTTCACTTTTCCATTGGATCAGATAATTACAAAACTAGATAGCCTCAGGATGTTTGGGAAGGGATGAGATGAAGGCTGTAAAGAATGGTTAATGAGGCCTCATCCAGTTGCCATTGGTGGACATGTGGAACAGCCTTTATTTGAACATATTAATTGAAATCAATGCATCTTCGTTTCTGTTTATTATAGTTATATCCTCCTCTTGTAGGGAAGCTCAGTGCAGCAGACATAGTGCTTCCTCTTTCTTCTTATTTATCCCATTTTTAAAAATATATAATTCAAGGCAGCAAACACCTAATACTCCTGCCTCCTGTTTTCCCCACAACAACCACCTGTGAGGTAGGTTGGACTGAGAGAGAGTAACTGGCCCAAAGTCACCCAGCATCCATAGTTGAGGACAGAGTAGAACTTGGGTCTCCCAGCTCCAAATTCAACAACTTAATCACTACACCACACTCGCTCTCAACTCTTTTAACTCTGACACTGTTTCTATTTCCTGCCATTTTGTCTCCTTGTTAAATGGATATTTGTAAGATCCTTATTAGAAAGAGCATTCATATTCTGTGATAAACTGCCTTGTGAATTCAACGTCATTCTCTTGGATAAGTGTATATAAAATTAATTTCTTTGACATCTTAGTGCAAGTAGTAAAGATAGGGGCAGTAATTATGAATACATTTCCATGGGAAAATGGGTTTATGATTCAGTGAGTTATAGGAACCCACCCATTGCCTTGTGAGGTCATCTCATTATGCTTTATTTGTATGGACACAGCATGGTATATATACACAGGAATTGTGTTTTCTTAACTCAGGTTTAGAATTTATTATGTAGTGTGAACCCAGTGGGTGAGATTCACTTCCTAGTATATATATATAGAGGACTGTGTTGCTAAAGATTTTTGTAAATTACTAAAATAAAGATTAAAAATTAGTGTTTTTTAAGCTCAAGTGAAACCTCAAGTAGAAGAATATTGTAGCATCGGAGTCATGAAAGTTCAGATTAAAAATCAACTGCTAAAATGCATTGCATTCAATATATTTTATCCTGACCATAAAACAATCCTTGTGCTGTGCAATTATTTCTGGAAACCTTCCATGCCTGAACAAGAAAAAGTAGGCATTTGGATCCACCCTGATATGAAACTCTGAAAGGCACTTGATCTCTGTGCTACTTGGCAGGTTTCAATTCTAGTGTGTGTCAATTACACTATTTCACAATCTTTGCAATTCCAGCTTACAGCCTAAAGGAATTTTTCCCTTCGAGGCAGCTTGTAAGTATACAGGCTCATTCATTTCCATACCACTAGCAAATTTATTTTCATCTAGATGGTGGTCTACATGAGAAGTATGCAGCTTGGTGCTTCCTAGAGTTTTAGATGGCACTTCTTCCATGCCCAACCAGGGTGATCAGTACTCAGGATTAATGATGTTATTGTTCAAAATGCACGGAGGGCATCAGGTTACCTATTCTGATCTATCTCATCAGGAAAGAGAACCACAAATATCCACATCACAATACATTGTGGATAGAAATGCTTTCTGATAAATGGGGAAGGGAGAGGAGAGATGACTTGTAGACTACCCACAAGCTGTGGTGGAAGTAAAAGGATGTACCTATTTTAGATTTCATCTGAAAAAAACAGGTTCTCCAATCCAATGCCTATAAGCAGTGTTGTCCAAACTTGGCCACTTTAAGATGAGTG